TCAAAATTCTTTTAATTATAATAGATTAAATTATCACAGTTGTTTTGATTATATTTGAAAATAGTTCTGTAATTTTAATTGGAAAATAAAACATACAGATATAAATATAATTGGCAGAATTGTTTCAATGCTAATTAAAAATAATTCTAATTAAAAATATTAAACAGAAATATAAGATAAAATGATCAGGAGAGTGTTCAGTCTGATTAAAAATTATTTTATAATTGTAATTACAAAATCTTAAATGCTAATATAAATCAAGTGATTAGAATTGTTTTAAAAATTATTCTAATTTAAATACAATTAAACCCAAGCATTTGTGAATATATGGATTAGAGAGTAATAGACATAATAGACAAAATAATCTCATGGTAAAGGGGTTTTTTTGGGTCTCTCTTGAGAAATTAAGCTCCAGAGTTGAACCAGAGGCTTTTATTTTGGTTGATTATTTGCTAAATCTGATTTAAAAACAGTTGCTTCTTCTAAAAGTGCTGCAGAAAGTTTTTCAATCTACAAAAATCAAAGCACATCAGGCGTCTGCTGCATCGCCGAGCCTTTTAAATCTCGTCTCTTACATGAGAAACGTGCCTCATGTGGAGGGAAGTTAAAACACAGTCGTCCAGGTGAGGATCAAAGCCCCGTCTGGCCTCCTTCCATCATGTCTCGCAGTTTTCCGAGGCTGCAGGCTGAATGTGGGCAGTGTTGGACGTGATGGAAAGGGCGGACTCTGGATCTGCTGTTTACTCAGGCGCTGGTGTCGTCAGAGCCTCCATAATACGGGTTTCAGGGGAACAGATCTGGTCTTATGGACCTCGGTCTCTCTGGGAGTCGACTCACCGCAGCAGCTGAATGAAGCAGTGTGGAACCGACCACCGGCTCGACTCACACACAGCTCAGCTGCTAATGAACTGTCACTTAGTCCAAACAGCACGTCTCCGTCCTGCAGAGACACTCCCTGCAGGCGTCTAAGTGTTTAAAGAGAGTTATAGCCCCTTCAGCGACGGATTCTAACTACAAAAATAGCCTGAAATGGTGTATTGTCACCGGAAAACTCTGGAAAAATCTCACATCCAGTTAGAAATCAAGTAACTCAAACAAAAAAAAGAGCAAAACATAGCAATATAAACCCAAAACCAGCAAACTAATAGTGGTGAAAGTATCAATATCACAGTAAACTATCTGAAATATGAATGTAAAATGAGTAAAAGCAACATAAATGGATAAAAGTAAAGCACAAGTACTACAAAACGGTACCTAAAAAATGCGTTTTATTTTCAACCTTGCTCGCTGTAATTATGAATAAAACATGTGAAACTCTCCTACATGAGTAAATGTGTACTTACATTCTACTGTAATCGAGAGGTCTGTGTGAAAAGTTAAAGTACAAATGAACATAATATCGTTAATATTTAAAAGAGAAACCTTAACATTGCTGCTCAGGATGTGAAGGTTTTATTTTGTTCATTTTATTTGCCAGAGATGGATCTCAGCACCAGAAAATAAGAAGAATTGTCTGTAACAGCTTAAAGTTCATTTAAAGAGGCACTAAAAACACAGAAAAGCAAGAGATAGATTTTTTTTTTTTGTTCGTTTTGTTTTGTTTTAATTTTCTGGCACCATCGTTGCCAGATTTTCACTTTTTAACCTCTTGTTTGTTCTGCATTTTTTAATTTCTATTCATAAAAAATAAAAAAATATAAAGAAAAAAAATTAAAAATATTGTTAAAATATTAAGGAAATAAATAACAATAATAAAATAACAAAAATTAAAACAAATACATTAAACAAATTAGCTACTGTGGTAATATAACCCAAAATGTGATGCACACGCATGTGGACGTCTTAAGAGGTGAAAATGTTTTTGTTTTTACAGCGTATAGCGGTGTATAAGAGTTAAAAAGCAATGAACAACACATTAAAATAAACAATGATTAAGAAAGCAAGAGTAAAACATTAAACGAAGACAGTTTTAAAATGGCAATAACGAAACATTAGAAAAGTCTTTTCTGCGCTGGTGGGATTTTTGAACGCTGCCTGAACATCTCCTAGAACAGTTTTGTTCTGTTTTTGTGTTTGTCTTCACTCTTCTGACTGATCAAAGATGCTGTTTGCTCATGTAACCAGGCAACCACATCATTGAGACGTTCTTAAATTAGAGCCGGTAATCAGAGCTGAGAGCCGGGACGAGCTTCGGTCAGGCGTCATGTGGGAACCCGAGGTTTAAATCAGCAGCTGGTCTGGTGTGTTTTAGAGTCAGCACACTGTAGCTTTGATTTGTATTTACATCCCCGTTCATCATTTGCAAATGTGTTCAACTCTGCATGTAGAACACTGAGGAGCAACTCTGCCTCCGAGAAATCAAAGTTCTATGCAACTAAATTACTTTTCAAATTTAAAGTGTAATCGCTGAGTTCGGTTAAGAGGCCGCTTGTTTTGTTGTTGTTGTTGTTGTTGTTGTTATTTTTGAAGGAATGAAGCTCTGCATACATATTTGGCATCAGAATCAGGAGGAGGAGGTCGGGGTGGATGGTGGGCCTGCATAGCACTCTGAACTCCAAGTAGTTTTAGAGCCTTTTTTATGTCCTTGTTATATTGTTTATATGACTGTTGGAAAGTTAAACATTTGACAATCCTTTCAGTTTTTACAGCTTCTCACTCAATTTTTAAAAGAAAAATGCCTTTCGAGCCCACTGGCAGGCCTCAGGATTAAACAAATCTGAGTGTGTGTCACTTTCAGAAGGACAATAAGTGAAACTAACTCAAGAGCACAAGGGTTTAATCAGACTGACTGGAAACAAGCCAGCGTCAGTTCAGCTTCGCTCATTTTAAACCAATGAAAAAACACAGAAATACAAAAGTCTCTCATTTAAATCAATAAAAGCTGCTCTGACTCTGGAAAAACATTGTTCAGGTTTGATCTTATCACTGACTGATAAAATATGTTTCCAGACCTTTAAGATTTGAAAATGTGTTTCTGTAAAAGTTTTCATAAAGATAAATGACTTAAATATCAATAAAAGTCTACAAGCAGTGACACCCGAGTATCAGCTGATCATAGTGAATACACATGATGGGAATTACAGGATATTTAACACACTGCTTGTGTTTGCTTATAGAATTGTGGCAGAAGACAGTCACCATTCCTTTGTTCACATGTTTTTCAGTTGAGTTGCAGAGTTTTTGTATTACTATTACTGTCCGTGACATGTATGTTTGATGTCAGGATAAATGTGTGCACATGGATGTGAACAAATATGCAAAGTGAATTAGTCAAAGTCTCTGAGAGCAGGAGAAGGAGGAGGAGGAGGAGGAGGAGGAGGAGGAGGGAGGAGCAGGAACTGTTCCTTCGATGAAATAACAGCAAATATTTACCTTTGAAAGAACTGGAACTCCTGGTTTTCCCATTAGAAGATAACATTCGGTTGTTAGAGACTTAATTAATTCCTCCTCATCCAGCACCTGAATGTAACGGTGACGTGTCTCATTTAGCATAAATAACTTTACTTGTGTTACAGACCTGAAGCATGTTTCCTCTCCTGTGGAAGCCTCAGACAGAGCAGGCATTCAGAGTTCAAACACACTGAATTTGCATGTTGTTGTTGTTGTTTTTTTAATTTTAAAGCTGTTTCAGGGTTTTTTTTCTGTCTCAGTATTGACTGTTAGCAAGTTAAAACAGTCCATTAATCATGAGGAGTCCTTAAAATAGCAGCAGTGAGTCTGTGTTAACTTGTTTACCTGAAATGTGTGCATTTACCTGTTATTTCTGAGCATGTATTAAACAGAAAATGTCCATTATGCTGAAGTAAATAAAGCCAAATTAACAAAACTGGTTAAAAAATTTAATTGTTATCTTTTATTCTCAATTCTTGTCACTTTAGAGCCTTTGATTTTTATTTGATGCTGATTGTAACATCATTGGGATGCACCAAAAGTCCTCCATGCAGGAAACGTTTAACCTGTATTCTATACGGTCCTATTGTCAGTGTTTATTTAAATGCATGGGTGCAAGATTTCAAAAAAATCTAATTTCATGATTTAGACAAACTTTTAAAAGATGTAAATGTTATTTTTATCGACTAAAATGTGTGTATTAGTTGATTTAAAGCTAAAATCAAGTTGAGGTAGCTTAATAAAGTTCTCCTCCTCTATATACTTCACATTAGAGCGGCTTAATTTTTAAAATGTGGCAACTTTAAAAGTTTTTTAACCTTCATGGACCTCATGTTACATCAAACTCATCGAGGAGTCACAGATGTTTATCTGTAGCTGCTGTTATGATGAGAATAAGAACGTCGATATTTAATGAATTATTAGTTGAGAATCTGACAAAGACAGAACGGTTTTTCTCTTGAATCCCTGTAAACTGGCTGCCTTTGTTCCAGGCTTATTTTGGTTTTATTTGTAATTTATGTCACTAATCTTTAAGCCTGTTTGGGCGCAGCATATTACTTTTGCACGACACAATAATAAAAATCTATCAATCAAATCCAAACAACACGAATGAATAGTCGAACTATATTCACGTTGGGATTTACTGCGGCTCTGCAGAGAGAAAGACACAGATTACTGGGGGATTAGAGCATTGCTGGAGAAAGGAATGAAAAAAATCCCTCTTTTGTTTCCACCACTGTACATTTCATTATTAAATTGAATGGCACAGTTTGTGTCTCCAACAAGGAGGCTGCTGTCAGTTGCATTTTTCTGCAGATGTCTTTGATATTTGGTTAAAATGTTTAGTCTCCAGGACATGTCTGAACCATTTTTATTATTTTGTTAAGCATTCATGCACTTATTTGAAATAGAAATCTGTCTTTTTTTTTTTTTTTTACATGTTTTACTGAATATTTTACCACAGAAATGTAAAGAACAACAGTTTTAAAATCTAGCAGTGAATGAAAACATGCTGCTTATAATCAGCTTTGTTATGCAAAGTCTGCAGGAAAACAAACTGAGATAGATTGATGATCGTATTCATGTTTTGCTTATTCTTCAGGTGAAACATGATCAGGTGGGCCGTGCTGCTGTCCGTGAGTCTGAACATCATCTCAGCGACGTTTGATTACATTTATGAGGCTCATTCTTTGATGGGTAAGAAAACGTCTCTTCACTTCATCTCAGCAGCATGAATCCGGCCTGCGGTACTGTGTGTGCCACTTCACTGCTCATGTGCTGTCGTCTTTCCTTCCACTTCTTGTTTTGTTCTGTATCACAGACCCGGACGATGTTCTGAGTGTCAGCATCCCTCTGGAGGAACCACAGCGTCCTCTGCTGGGAGCAACAATTGTACTACCCTGCTACTTTGAGGTGTGTAATTCTAAACTTTGACTCACACAAACTTGACGCTTACCACCGTTTGTCTGTTCAAAAACAACAAAAGAACAATGAAAATCTGTAAACAAGGGTACCACAAAAACATGGTTAGAAAATTAGGGAAAATAGCAACATTCCAAACTCTACAAAACAAAGACAAATAGACTTAGACTTTTTTAATCCCAGAGGGAAATTCAAAAAAAAAAAAAAAACAAGTTACGATAAATATACAGATTATGTTGACATCAGTACAGTTTGATCCTATTTATTTTCACAGTCATTTTTAAAATCATTATAGTTTTTGTTATTTTTAGTTTTTCAATCCTTGACATACATACTTTATCTTTTAAATAACAGCAAATGTCTGCAAAATAATATTTTTGCACATTCACAGCAAAAAAAAGAATGTCAGACATTGACAGAGTGAATTGCTATTTGTAAAATTATACATTTTTGATGCGAAAATTACTTTGTTTTACGTGGGTTTTTATTTTCTTTTACGATTAACATGTAAATTTACACTTTTTCTCTGTGACTGAACCAGTCATTATCTGTCATGTAACACAACATGGAAAATGTGTAAAATAACCATAAATTGTCACAAAAAAATAATGCTAAAAACTATAAACAATTAAAAAAAAAAAAATTAAGTTATTTTTTACTCTATAACCATTTTTGGGGGGTTTGCAGGGACAAAAATCTGCATATTATCTGTAGATGAACTAAATCTGAGTTGCTTCAAGTCTTTTGACTTAGTGTCTACGTAAGTCTCTTTTACTTTAATTTAGTAAAAGCCAGAAAGAAACTGGTGTTCAGTAAAGTTGTGTCTCTGTAGGACCACACAGTCCCAGATCCCGGAGCTCCAACCATCGCTCCTCTTTCTCATCGCATCAAATGGAGCCACATCACCAAGGAAAACGTCACGACTGTCCTCGTGGCCTTGGAGGGGGAGGTGCTCATCGGAGAAAACTACCTGGACAGAGTTCACCTGCTGGGATACCCCAACACCCCGACCGACGCCAGCATCAAGATATCTGAGCTGCGACACAGTGACACTGGAGTTTATCGCTGTGAAGTTCAACACGGCATCGAGGACAACCACGACAACGTCCACGTACAGGTTCAAGGTGTGTAAAGGAACCGTAGTGGATACAACAGATCTGAATATCCAGGAAACAACACATGGGTGTAAAAAAGTCCAGATAAAACTTCGACTATTAAGAAATTCAGAGGATTTCAACTATTATTTATGGTTCTGGTTGTCTTTTTTTTGTGGTAATTTTGTGGTTTGACCATTAAACTCTTGATTTACTAAAGGTCTTGGTTATCTTGGTAGGTATTGTGTTCCACTACCGGGCCATTATGGGTCGCTACAGTCTGACTTTTGAGAAGGCAAAGGCAGCTTGTGCTCAGAACAACGCGGTCGTGGCTTCACCTGAACAGCTCCAAGCAGCCTACGATGATGGTTTCCACCAGTGTGACGCCGGCTGGCTCTCTGACGAAACAGTCAGGTTGGTTTGTCATATGACAGAAAACAAATTTTTCCAACTGAATGTCAATTTATTAGAAAAATGCGAGTGAGTTAAAAGGTATTACATTTTGATACATCCTTACTCCAAGGTAGGTACATCTAAAGAAACTGTAGTGCAGGTCTTGATGCCAATTGATTGAATAACAAACACCTTTTTTTCAGCCCGAGTGATGTCCTCATGAGTCGTAGTCTTCTTCTTTCGATCATGGTTAGCTTTGACAAATTTTGAGAACTACTTGCTTGAAGCTTGGTTAAGTTTACGCAACAAAACCATGTAGGTAGGTTTAGCGAAATAGCATGGTTTGGGCTAAAACAGACCTTTTCACAACATGTCTGAGGCTTCTCTCCTATAACAAGAATGACAAGTCCTGACCCATCCAATAAATGGGTATTTTTTTCTGCAAGAATTTCCCCCGTATTCGACCTTTTCAGCCTTTCATGTTTTCATTGCGGTGTCAGATCCAACACCTTTAGCCACGATGGTAACTTGAGTGTGCCAAAGCAATGATATACAGTGGTTACTGGCTGCAACTCCACTTCTATGAGCACGTGTGAAGTAGCAACACTAAACTGATTTTTATTCAACCAAAGGTATCCAATCCATGACCCTCGTGTGAATTGCTACGGTGATAAAGAAGAACTTCCAGGTGTCAGGACCTACGGCGTCAGAGACGTCAATGAGACTTACGATGTTTACTGTTTCGCTGAGAAGATGACAGGTACGCTGTATACAAACACTGCAATAAGTTTTTACTCCAAGCTCATTCTGTTGTTATTTTATTGAACTTCCTTATCTGAAACAGGTAAAGTTTTCCACACCACTACTGCTGAGAAGTTCACCTTCTCTGAGGCAGTGGCGGCATGTCTTAGTAAGGGAGCCCAGCTTGCTACGACCGGTCAGCTGTACCTGGCCTGGCAGGGAGGGATGGACGTCTGCAACGCCGGCTGGCTGGGAGACAGAAGCGTCCGATATCCCATCAACATCCGTCGGCCGCAGTGTGGAGGAGGTCTGCTGGGGGTCCGAACTGTTTACCGCAACACAGACCAGACAGGATTCCCATTTCCTGAGTCCCGCTATGACGCCTTCTGCTACACAGGTAGGTCTTTATGTTGACAACGGATGGAAACACTGAAGGCAGATATGCAAATATTTTCACAGTGACACGATTTTAGTGATTTTGCCTCCTAACACTAGTACAATTCTGCAAAGTTGAATGCTGCAGAGCTGATAAACGGATAGAATAGCACAACAAACACAGATGGATAATGACCAAAACATACTGTGAAGGCAATAGAAGAACTTCTTAAGGCAGAGAAATTGACGGTCATTTTATTACAACTTTTACCTACTGAAGACAAAACTGAGGGCAGAAAGACCCACAAAAAACAGCAACTGAAGGCAGTCGTAGAACCTCAAAAATCTATGATTGCAGTGTCTTACATATGAATATTTAATAATCTCTTTACTCATTTGTGAAAGCAAATTGAATAACTTTGGGTTGTGGAAGGCATTTGAGGACGGCATCGTGGGTTTTGGGAAACATTGTTTGACTTTTTCCATCAGTTTATAGACAAAACAACAGAACCATCCTTGCATGTACAGTAAATAGCATCCCTTCCACTCTACACCTTCAGAGTCTCCTGATGAAGAGGGTTCAGGCATCATCGAGGAGGGAAGCGGTATTCTGAGTGTTACCACGGTGACTCGAAGCCCTGAGGTGTTCTTCATGAGGACGACCACAGAGAGCGAGGCGATCGGGGAAGTGGAGACTCGGCAGCCCACCAATGTGGACTTCATCTACACTCAGAGTCCCATCGAGAGCCTCACCATGAGCCCCACTGAGACCCCCATTGAGAGCCCACCTGAGAGCCCCATTGAGCCCTCCACCGAGAGCCCCACTGAGCTCCTCACCGAGAGCCCCACTGAGCTGCCACTACCTCAGCCGCCCAGCATCACTGACCTGATCGAGGCCATCACTGCTCGGCCGGATGTGGGCAGGGAACCCAGCAAAGGCTTTGAGATGCCTTTAACTAGTCAGTGACCAAACAGACATCACACAAAAAGTCAAGAGAGTGTCCTAATCAGTTGAAAACAGTTCCATCACAGCTTTACTTCTTGTTTCTCTGTGCAGGTGTGGTCTTCCTTTACCGGTCAGGTGTCGGCCGCTATGCCTTCACTTTTGTTGATGCCCAGCTGGCCTGTCAGAGCATCGGAGGCTCCATCGCTACTCCACAGCAGCTTCAGGCAGCTTATGAGGCTGGATTTCACCAGTGTGATGCGGGCTGGCTACTGGACCAGACTGTGAGGTAAATCTGAAATCAGATTTCCAGATCAGGTAACGAGGCCTGAAGCAAGGTCTGCTAACTGATGAATGTGCCCTTGTGCAGGTATCCCGTTGTTTTCCCTCGAGATGGATGCACTGGAGATCTGGGAAATAAACCTGGAATTCGGTCTTACGGTCTGAGGCCTGCGGACGAGTTGTATGATGTGTACTGCTACATCGAGGGGCTCAGAGGTGATAAAAAAAACATTCACTACTCAGCAAACATGACCAGATATTCTATGTACTTAACAGTAACACCTCCAGAGAGGAGTCACCAGATGTAGCCACTGAAAAAACTGAGGTGTTACATAAAATAGCCTCTTAAACTACAACCCCTTGTGGTTAAATTAAATGTGTTTTGATTGTTACTCAGCTCCAATTTCTGCAAACAACTGGAAGCAACAAGCTAAACTAAATTGTTCACTCTTTGAGATCCATGTGTTTGGCTCCATCAGCACTTTGTGTTATGTTTATGAAGTGCTGCACAGCTGATTGGCTACTGCTAGATGTAGCTGTTAGTCATTTCATGCTGCTTTCACTTGCACTCAGATACCATAGTTGCATTCACCGACACTTGGACATCAGAGTTACAGTGGATGAATTGGACAGAACAGATCTGCAGTGGTCACAATGTTGGCCAGTGAGATTTCAGGGGTGTTGTTAGATTGGATCCACCTATATATGATATATTTTGAAATGAATTAAACTGAAGTTGGTGTTTAAGAGTGTGAGTTTGACACTCAAAGACCTCCAGCTTAATGTGTGTTCTTTTTTACTTTGTCACTGATGAATCTGCCTTGTCTGCTCCACAGGAGAGGTTTTCCATGTGGGGTCTGAAGAGGGTTTCACCTACGATGAGGCTGCTTCCAGTTGTCTGGAGCAGAATGCTGTCCTGGCTTCCACAGGAGATCTCTACGCCGCCTGGAAAATGGGTTTCGATAAGTGCCGTGCAGGCTGGCTGGTGGATCGTAGTGTCCGTTATCCCATTAACAAGCCTCGTGCTCAGTGTGGAGCTGGAAAAGCTGGAGTGCACACAATCTATGCAGACCAGAACCAGACAGGCTATCCAAAGCCTGATGCCAAATTTGATGCATATTGTTTCAGAGGTAAATGCTGCTCATATGTTTTTAGACTAATTCTAAATGTTTTCATTCATGTCACTAGTTCATCATTTCCTCTTTCTGCTTAATCCTTGCAGCGAACATCCAACTTATTGCAAATGAAACTGGACTGAACGTCACAGATATCGAGGAGGCTCTAGTAAACCTGACGTCAATTACTGATTTGCTAAGGCCTGGTAAGTTCTAACCTGTGCACACTTCTATTTATTTGCCATGGCTAGTGTCGTAATGAAGTCAGAGTGATGACTCTGATACAATGTCTGCTAAATACATTGATGCTAGCACGATACTACAACAAAAACTGAAAACATATAGCAGAACATGAAACTTAGTCAGGTAGTGAAGGATGTAAAAAGAAGGCATTAAAAACAGGAGTGAATTACCATAATGCGTTTATACATTTTAATATCCAATCAGAACTGGAGGAACTACATTAAAATCTGCTATTGGCACAGTGCTTTGTCAGGTGTGACGTGTTGCTCCTTAAGTCTGAACAGCTTTAAAACTTTTACAAATGGGCTTTGAGGTGTCTGTAGGTTCACCCACATTTTTGCTTTTGTGCATCTGCTTTGTGGACAATGCATGGATGGTTGGTACCTTACAATGTTGCATATCAAGACAACTTACAGAAATTATCATTCTTTAAAGTACAAATACCAATAAAATTGTTATTTTTACTGGCAGGGTACTGTAACACTTTTCTAGTGTGCAACACTACCCATGACTCTAAAACTTGATCTTTTATGTCTTTTTTTTTAGCTGTTCCTTCCATCGCTGCACCAATCCCTGTAGTGACTTCAGGCTCTGGGTCGGGCTCCGCAGACTTTGGCTCAGGGTCGGCAGTTGATGTCGTCTCTGGGGGCCACTCTGGAAATATGTCTGGTTCTGGAGATATGTCTGGTTCTGGAGACGAGTCTGGTTCTGGAGAC